TACGCCGAAAACGACAAAAAATTTCGAAATTGAGATCTTTACCATTTTTTGTTCAATATGACGTTCTGTCATATTGAACAGAGCTGTTTGTTACGTCGTGACAATATTTGCCTCATATAAAAGCTATGCAATCTGTACTTACGAAATAGTAATTCAATTCAGATTAGTAGTTTGTATGAAAAAATAATGGAGTTCTTAAAATTGCACTTAGATGTCTAAATTAAAACGTAATTGTTACACAAAAATTTATGTGTATGTGTGGCATGAATGAGATATTGATATAGTATTGTGTCAGCGACACGTAAATCGTCTGTGTGTAAATGCTATTTGGGGATCCTAAGGATGACTAATTATCCTTAGGATCCCCTTAAACACTAAAACAAAATAAGACAAAAATAAAAGAGTTACATAAATTTATTTAATCATGCAAATTCTTACCTGAGTAGTAAACATGCCAAAATCAGGATTAAATATCTCTTCAACAACTAATTGAAAGAATTCTTTAGATACACCTCCTTCGTCAACACCTTGTTCTCCCTCAAATTCGACAACTAATTGCTTTTTTAAATCAGATGGATTTTCCATCGCCACCATTTCTAATTCCACCAATGCGTCATCTATTAAATGATCTCTTCGTACCTGTTTAAGTTAAAAACAAAATTCACACTGATGGTTTTTTCCAAAGTTAATCACCTCGTTATTCATCTTCAAATCAACAAACCTTTAATCTGAGATATGGATTAGTCGGTTGTCCGACAACGGTTTGCAAAAAGCTCATACGTCGTTCGCTATACATTCTAATACGATTATCATAATACAAGCCCAAAGTTTTAGTAGCTGGCGTGAGAATAAAAGCGTAATTCATAAAGCTAAATTTCTGTGGCTCTTCGCTTTTGTAATAAGCGAAATCTTTGTCCATCTCTATGGCATCGCTAAGTGGCTCATTGTAAAAATCAGTAAATGGTATGAAAGGTTTACGTGCATCCAGTGCAGTAATTCCTAATTCTGTCGCTAGTAAATCCTAAAATATATATTGCTCTTTTATTTATCGTACAAAATAATGTATGCCAGATTAAGCTAATTAACAGAGATACCTGAGGGATCTGTCCTGATACCGCTGATCGTGAAGTATTTTTGTCGCTACTAGCCGGTTCACCTTCGTCGCTCAAAATTAACTCAGGAGGATCTAATTCACCAGCCAACATACTCGCATAATATAGAATTTTCATAACTTTCGTAGGTGCGGTAATAGTGTCTGCATCTTGGACGCAATAATCACGTGTGAAGGATCCTCCAATTACCTTTAACGCGATACCAAATCTTTTATGATCAGGAAATAAACATACTTATTGTTTTAAGATCTAAGCAAGTAAAATAGATGCTATCGACAAAGTCTAGAGAATGTACCTTGACAGTTATGAGTTCTTGAAGTGCTTGCAGAAGGCTTGGAAGTCGCGATTTGCAATGCTTGGCCCATACGCGTGCTAACTTGGCTTGGGCCAATACTGGTACACAGCTCAACGCTTTACACAGCATATGGAGAGCCAATTCCAAATATTCGCTATTTCCGAGCATTGGAATTTCAAAAACAATGAGAAATACATTTAACAAACTATCCATGCTGTCCCAACGTACCATACGAAATACTCTCAGATCTAATTCTATATCATCGGCCAAAGTGACTAGCGCATTGACCAGAGCTGATTCGAACACCTCACCTAATAAAATGAGGAAAAAATATGTGTTTGATTTAATTAGAAAGGTATCGAGACATTAAAATAGCATTTATTCATACCTAAAATCGTATTTATTCATACCTGGCAGAGACCAAAGCGCTTCAAAAGCTCTACGGACCGATGGTAAGTCAACACTAGTATCGTCATTATTAGGAACTGTAGGTGATGGATCACTGCTATCTTCTTCTTTATCTTCTCCCTGTAAAGATCGTACCGCTTCTTTATTCAAATCTGCGGGTGGCCTTAACAGACTGTCTGGTGCTCGTTCAAGAAGTGCCGTCAAAGGAGAATTACTTTTCTCAGTCTTTTGAAAACTGAGACTTAATGCTTTTCCAGAAGAAAACACTTCTCCCAAAGTACGAATTAATAAAGAATATGAATCTTCTGCTTTACATTTTCCTATAATATCCAGAAGCTTAGCTTCCGTAAGATATGACTCTTGTTTTCCTAATGAAAAAGTATTATTTGCATTAAAATATAATTGAATAGTCTTGCATATTGCCTGATACAATAATTAGATGTTTTGCTTCAAAAATTAAAATTTTATTGAATTAAATACCTTCATCGGAGCTTGTAGAATTAACACTTTTTACAGGTAGACTCTTAGCTAATGACGTTTGTCCAGGCTCTATAGTAGTTCGAGCAACTTTACTGGGTTGTGTACCATCGCACAGTCTTGCTTCTTGCGAAAATAATTGTATCGCTTGTGCGGCTGCTTGATTTGGAGTAAGATTAGTTACCTAGCATGAAATCAAATAAGATGCACAAAACATTATTTAATTTCTATTATAGTTTGTTCTAGACAATTGGATTTTAAAGTCATACTTTGCCACTGGAGGCACAATGCTGATTGTCACAATGAGGATTTCCACATCCATCCGTGAGTTGGTAAAAATAACGTTCAATGAGCTTCTTTGCAGCTGCGCGCTTCATGTCGCTGCAAGGGCTCTCAGCTCCTACCCTACAAAAATGATAGTACAACATAAAATATATGTAAACTAAATCCTTAATACTTTCTACTCCATGATTATAAATAAATGTACTTTATATTTATAAAATTTTATTGCTTAATATGTTTCTAAAAACAAAAAACATTCAGTTTTTATGTCTGTACAAATGTCATTTCTCATGTCTATATAAAAATATCTAGTCATTTTAAAAGATTATGTGAAACTGATCAAGCAAAAAAGAAACTATTAAAGAACAAATATCATAGAATAATAATCTCTAAGAATTAGAAAAAGATGAAGAATAGTTGAAAATTACGATTAATCTACATTGATAGAAATGAACATTCTTAGAATTATAGGAAAAAAAGTTACAAAATAAATTAAAGTTTAAAGAGATTAATCTACATTGTTAGAAATAGACATAAGACGATCAGTGTCGTTGCACCAAAACAAAAGTGCTAATAATAGACGGCCTCACGATTTCGCGATTTCACATGACGAAAGTAAAGTACTACGTTGCTGTAAACAAATCTTTTGTAGGAACGAGTGAGAATGAGAGAGACGAAGTGACGGAGCGGGAAAAGGAGAGATAAAGAAAGGGAGATCGTGCTAAGGAAGGCGAGAGAAAAGATAGAAGGCGCCAAAGAACCTCCACAATGTTTCATGAGAACATCTCGATCCGCCGATCGATTTTAACACGCGTATGAATCGGAGAACCGAGCGTCTGTCTCTCGATCACATAAACTCTCTCGGAACAATCCGCTGTCAAACACGCGACGACACTCTACTCCCCGCGAAAAAGAGCAAGCATTTCCTTTTTTCTTATTTTTTTTTCTTTTTTTTTTGTTCTCTTTTACGAACGCTAAAGGACGCAATCAACTCTCGTGACACCTGGAAATGTGATCTTCTCCAGGGTCCCCCTGACTCTTGGCGCTCATAGACCGTAAATCGTCGGAATTTTGCCTATTTTGCTCGGCGACAGGAAGCTGAGCCGTTGCCACCGCGAGCTCGTCACCGCACTCCAAATCCGATCGTCGCGCGCAGCAATTATCGTCGTCTACGCGACACGTCGGGGTCCCCGCCGCTCGGCAGTTTCGGTACCACAAAAGTTGGACTTCCACGGAGCGAAACGTCGCACAACGCCACACAATGCTCGTCTGTCCACCGTGTGTGCTCTTTAAATGTCGCGTGTTGACGACGATCACGTTCTTCACACAGCAGACAAGGGATACTTTTCAATACGTCAGAGAGACACGGCGCGGGGGGAAAGAGGAAAGGAGCGGAGGGAGGAGAGACAGAGAGAGAGAGAGAAAAATAGAGTTTAAAGGCAATAGAAAAACATAGAGAGTGAAAATAACGAAGAACGAAGCTTGCAGAATAGAGAAGACAGATGGATGGAAATGCGGGAGAGAGGAAAAGCGAGCGAGATCGAGAGAAAGAGAGAGATTCAAAACGATTCTTAAAAGGAAAATATTGATATCGAGAATTCGGATGTTTTGAGGTTAGGAAAATGGACGGCTAAGTTAATCGTCCCGATTTATGCGACGGGGACTCGACGCGAACTCCAACCGGCTCGCGAAAATAAGAAAATTCGCTCGAGTAAAAGAATCACCACCGTCTTCTTTTGCTTTCTGTGTCTACTGACGTCTATCGTTTGCGATCAGCACCAACGGAGCCACGAGTTATCGCGGTGGTGCACGGCGATTCTCGATCCATCGTGATCGCGCGCGACATATCGATTTCGCGATTTGTCGTGCGATTTAAATTTTGCACATGTATACATTGAAAGATGTATGATTACAATTATAACATAATATGATGTATTATATGTTTTTAATAATTATATGTATAATTTAAATATATTGTATTTTATTATTATACATTTCTTAAATATATGTATATTATTATACATTATTAGGCCCGACACACAAATGTA